CCCCCCCCATGGTGGAGGAGCCACCCACTGGGACTCCCATGGGCAGTGGGGGTGTCAAAGTCAGATCCATGGAGACAAAGGCCACAGGGTTTTCGGGATATTCCAGCATCAGTAAGGAGGCCCCCGTCCCTTGGAGATGGTAAATGTGTCTAATCTGTCCTGTTTAACTCTCTGAAGGCGGGATTTATCAGCCTCTCCTAACCTCCACACGGCCCCTCTTATCCATCTAGACAAGCCCTGGGGTGTATTCCTGGCTGTCAGGTGGACAGTTGCCTCTCCGAGGCCTTCCAGCCCCCACTTTGCATTTCCCTTCCCCCCTGTACATTGCCTCAGCCCTCACGTGGTTGCGATTTGCAGCGTGAAGCAGACAGTGTAACCTAGTGGTTAAGAGACAGGTCTTTCTCTCTGCTCAGACATGCTTGGGTGCAAATCCCGGTCTAGCCAATTGCTGAGTATATGGCCTTGGGCAAGCTACTAAGCTGGTTATTCCTCAGTTTTCTTGTCTCTAAAATGGGGGTAATAAGGCCTTCCTTACAGTGTTGTTGTAAGGATTGAGACAGTTCATACCATCCACTGAACACTGGCAGTGAGCTGCAGGTTTCTGCAGGGCTGGGAGCCTCACCGCTAAAGCCAGACTGTGGGTGTGGATTCCGGCTCTGCACTTGTTAGCTGTGTGACCCTGGGCAGGTTTCTTGGTCTCTCTGGGCCTGTTTTCTCTTCTCTGGAGTGGCTGTAATAATAGTAACCAGCATCGTAGGGCTATTTCAAGGATTGCTGCTTGTAAATTTAATGCAGCGGAGTGCTTAGCCATATTAAGTGTTCAAGAAATGTTAACTGCTGTTATCATTTTAAAAATGAGGCTGCAAAAAAATCCCAGAGTATGTGACAAAATCTATGGCTAAAATGGTCAACAAAATCAAACATGAACATAAAATTTACTAAAGAAATTTTATGAAGTCTAAAATAGACTTCAAAATAAATATTTTAGTACCCTTAAAGAAATAAAGAACATCCACACCATGAAAAAGAATTATAGGCCAGGTGGAAATAAGACAAGAACAGGCCGACATGAAAAATATTCATATGTACATTGTAAACACGTCTCAAACTATTCTGGCTTTTAAGTACAAGCCACAAAGTCCTGCTGTTTCTAATTAAAGCAGTTCCTTTCCAGCTGTGGACCCCTGGTGGCACAGTGGTTAAGAGCTCAGGCTGCTAACCAAAAGGTTGGCAGTTTGAATCCACCAGCTGCTCCTTGGAAACCCTATGGGGCAATTCTGCTCTGTCCTACAGGGTCGCTATGAGTTGGAATCCACTCAGTGGCAACAGGTTTGGTTGGGAATCTTTACGGAAGCAGACTGCCACATTTCCCCCCCACAGAGCAGCTGGTGGATTTGAACTGCCCACCCTTTGGTTAGCAGCCGAGCCCTTAATCACGGCGCCACCAGGACTCCTTTAGGCAGGAGTTAACAGAATTAAAATCTCAGAGGAGGTCTTTTCAACGTCAGTTTATTTTAAGGCACTTAGAGAGGCCCCAGGTCCGTAACAGGGTCTCGGGACTGGGCTTGTGGTCGGGGTGGGAGGAGAGAGGCCAGCTGAGGTAAGAGGCGTGAGCAGAGCGCCTTCACACAACCTAGATGCTGGGAAGGAGCAAATCTTTGCTGAATGCCAGGCAAATAGGAGCCTAAGGTCCTGGAGGTAGGGAGAAAATCTCTCTTCTTTCTTACTGTGCATCTGACACTGTGCTGAGTGTTTTACAAGGAGATCGCAATTTTAATCTTTATTGCTCCTCTAGGGGATGGGTAAGGAGCTCTGGTGGTGCAGTGGTTAAGAGCTCCGCTGGTACCCGAAAGGTTGGTTGTTCAAACCTACCCAGGAGCTTCATGGGAGAAAGGTGTGGCATCCTGCTTCTGTGAAGATTACAGCCTTGGAAACCCTGTGGGGTAGTTCTGCATGTCCCAGAGGGTTGCTATGAGTCCGAACTACATGGACGGCAATGGGTTGTTGCTGTTTCTTCCCCGGTGTTTCCCTGGCTGTCCCAGCCCACGGCGGACTGTGCTGGAACTACCATCCCGTGTGGCCGGCAGTGCAGCCTTTCGGTTATACACGTCTGATTCTGCCTGGAGCTTAGAGAGAGGCATGAAGCACAAAATGTGGGGGCTGAGGAAGGGAGAAAGCAGAGGTTCTCCGTGTGGCCCATGCCTCCCCCCCAGCCCCGCTGACATTTGCCCTTGTCAGAAGTCTAGAGCGCCCAGGCGGGCACGTGTCAGTCCTCATTACGCTTGGAAGAAGCAGTCAAATAATAGCTTTGTTGTTGTTCGCTGCCATCGGGTCTGCCGGGACTCATGCGATGACCCTACATGTAACATTGTGGAACCTTGGAATCCGGTGCCGTCTTCATGGTTGGCGCTTTGTTTCAATCCACTGTTTCAGCGCATCTCACCGAGAGCCTCCCTTGTCTTCGTTGACTCTGCTTTACCAGCCGTGACGTCCTTTTCTAGAGCTTGGTCTTTCCTGATGATACGCCTCTGTCCTCCCTTCTGAGGTGCGTTCTGGTTGTCTAAGACTGATTTGTTTGTTCTTCTTGCATGGTATAGTCAGTATTTTTCGCCAACACCACAGTTACAAATAATAGCTGGAGGGAGTGACTGAGAACATTCAACCCTGATGAGCAAAGTGCCCAGGTGTCCCTCTTTGCCCCCTCATATCCTTTAAAGGCCAGTGAAGATCACGTAGGTGTTACTTCCTTCCCTAGGCAAAGCCTAGTATGGTGTAAGCAACAGAGTAGGTTGAGGGGCATGAGAATGTTCCTTCAGTCAAATATTTGGAAGGTAATTGTGTGCCAGGCACCCTCAAACAAAGCATTTTAAGACCTTTGTCTAGCGTTCTTTGTAATATCCCATTGCCGTTGAATCGATTCCAACTCATAGTGACTCTGTAGGACAGAGTAGAATTGCCTCATAGGGTTTCCAAGGAGTGGCTGGTGGATTCAAACCACCGACCTTTTGGTTAGCAGCCAAGCTCTTAAGTACTGTGCCCCCAGGGCTCTGTTCTTTGTAATAGGAGGGGAAAATGAGATCTAAAGAATGATAAGTTGCCCAGAGTCACACAGTGGCTATTAGAAAAGTTAGGATTAGGATCAGTTTTCTTTCGATTATTGACAAGAGTGGGACAATGAAACTTGAATGCTCATCACTGTAATTACTGGTTCCCCAGCTGAAGTGCGGTATGTAAACTGGAAGACAGAATCACCACTGATCAGAGTGGCAAAATTCGTAGTCCCTTTTGACGAGTCTTTCACACTAGAATTTATTCGTTAGGCTCATTCAGATCATGCCTTGATTATCTTACAATAATTTCTTCAGTTCTCTGTCTCTTCCATCTTATGTAATCTATATATGTAATCTATGGAGGCCTACCACATTTGTCTAACAAACAGAGACAGTGGTGAACAGGGCACATGCAGAGTGTGTTGGGTCTGGGGGAAGCTAGACAGATGGGATGCACCGAGTACACGCCACGGGAGAGCAGTATGATGTGCCACAGGGCCTCAGGCGAGAGCCAGACCTGGTGTGGGGAAGGGGAGAGGGTGACTCCTTGAAAAAGCGATCCTGACCCCCAAAAACAAGGGACAAGGGGGGAGTAGAGAATAAGTGTCTCAGGACCCGATGCTTTTTTTGCCTTTGGCCTGGAGATGAGAACTTGATGCATTTCAGGAGCAAGAAGTTCAGTGCTGTTTGGATCAGAGTGAGTGGTGAGAAAGGCCATGTGTCCAGAGGAAAAAGGACCTCATGGGCCCCAGTTAAGAAATTTGGCTTTGTTCCTAAGGGCAAAAAAGGTTTTAAGCAAGGTTTGACGATCACGTTTGTTTCTTACTCGATTTTGAATGTCTCCCTTCAGTTCAGTCTCTCCACTGCAGCAGTGAGCTTGTATGAAGCTTCTCAGGGGTCACACACGGATGGGTCCTCCTAACCAGGAATCAGTTTCAGCATTGAGACCTGTGTAAAGCTGAAGAGTAGCCATTTGTTTTTATCGGGGTCCCAAAGTAGAATTGGTCTGTGTCTGACACCTGGGAATGGTTAAATGATAAATCTGTATAGGATGAATCAGACATTTAGTGTTTACAATGCTTTGGAAAATTTTTAAGCAGAAAAATGCTCAGGAGTATTGAGAAAAACACTACAATGTGGTATACATACACAAAGAGAAAGATCCTAGTAATAACAGAGACATGTAGATAGATACACTGTGCGATGCATAGGACCAGGGACAAACTGTTTCTCTCCCATCCCTGCGATTTATCATGCATAGGGGTTGCTTTTGTTAATGCTTGTATCAACTTCTAAGAAATTTGCGTGAGAGTGTACTGCTGTTACAATCAGATAACATGTTAAAGATTTGTTACCTTACTCAAAGACACATGAACACTTACCAACAGGAATTTCATACCATTGAAACTCCCCAAAGTCATTACTGGCCTTTACCTGAGTGGTCTTCGGGGTCATTCATAATTTTAAAAGAGGTAGGGACAGAAACTAAAACCCTGGAAGGTAAAGGTATCACTTAATACTAGCTGGTAATTATCTGCCATTCTAAAACGGGTAAATTCCCTTTGGCTTTGGACCCCGCCTCATTCAACATTGTTTTCGTAAGAGTGCTACAGTGCAAACATCATGCAACATTGTTACCTTCTCAAAAGGTCAACTTAGTCCCAAATAATTTTATTCTTTATGGTAGGGAAGGAGTTAAATGCAGGGTACATGCTCAATGTTGTAAAAATGTGTGTTTTAAGTAAGACTTCTCTTAAAAAACGAAAACGAAAAGACTTCTTCCAAAGGTTTACGTTTGCTGCTGACTGCATAGAAAATAACTTTCTTGGTTTGGTTCACAACTTTGAAATCTTCCCCATCAGAGGCCACCCAGTAGTGTGTCCTGCCACCCGGGGACAGAAGTCAGGGTGTGTGCTGGGCCCGGTCCATTCTCCATTTGCTTCTGGACTTTCACATCTTGGACTGTGAGACGGAGTCCAGCGTGTCATGCAGGTTATTGTTGTCAAAGTTCTTCTTTTCCTCCTCATCAAACTGGGCTTCAATCTCGGCTGGATTGATGTATGTATAGAATTGAGCCATGATGGCAAATATTACGCAGACAACCAGAAGCAATGCGGCAAATAAAATGTACTCAGCCCACTTCAGAGGAATTGGAGTTGGAGTAAGAAAAACAAATAAGCACAGGTTATATTAATGTAAATATCTCATGCACATTTTCTTGCTATCTCCACATGAAGATACTTTAAATTGTTATAAAAAATCATTTGGCTACTGCCACAGAGGCAGAGTGGCCGGGGCTTGCCACGGGGGCGGAGTGGCCAGGGGCTGCCATGGGGGCACAGTGGCCAGCTTTTCTTGAATGATCTAGTATAGATAACATTTTTCTGACAGCACCGGGGTCCTAAACCACAAGCCTTTATGAAGATAACAGAAAATTTCCAAAAATCCCTAGCCCTAAGACACATAAAGCTGGCCCCTGGAAGCATGGGGACCAAGAGAATGCCAAGCAGTATCCTTGAGGGAATAAAAATGTGCTGAACTGTCCCAAGTTAAGACCGCCGTGTTATCCCTCTTCTTGGCAACACCTTGAGCTTTGAGAGGTGGTGTTAGCACATGGCCTGAGAAGGCCCGGTGAGGGGAGCAGCGAGACTGAGGGGTAAGGGACAGCTCCCTCATGAGGTAGATATGCTGAGTGCTCAAGGACAGAGTTTCAGTACCATAAAGGGCCTCATTTTACTTCAGGTGCAAAACTTAAAACAAGCTCTAGGATGGCATTCACTGTACGTATTATGAAAGTTTCTGGATCAAATGTCTGGTTTGGGGACATGACACCACATTCACTGAAGCTAGGAAAGAGCTTTTCTTTGGTAGTAAACCACGTATGTTAACCCAATCCAGTTATTTTGATTTTCAATTTCCAACCGTATCACAGCCCTGTCTCGCTGGTCTGCCAGTTTTGTCCAGCCATCAGCCCAGATGACCGTGTACATGTGGCAGGGAAGGTGGTCATGGTGACCGTGTACATGTGGCAGGGAGGTTATCATGGTGACCGTGTACATGTGGCGGGCAGGGAGG